TGAAAAGAAACTGGTTTATTATGGCCAAGTTGCCTGCTTACATACTGTAAGGAACCGACTCTGCTGAGTTCGAACCCTGGTACCCATGCTGCTAAACCTCTTCCTTACCAGTACACCAGCCTTCCTTTTGCAGATTTACTAGAGATCTGATAACCTTGACTCTACAAGCAATGATATCAGTGACAACTCTCTTCAGCTGTGTCTGGTCAGGTGTCTGGTTCTTGGCCTATAAAAGCCACTTCCTGTCTCTGTACCTTTGCCAGATTATTGTGGTTCCTGTACTCTCTAATCAAGCGTGTTCCTGTTTCTCCTTCCTGTTGCTGAATTTGGACTGTTTTGACTTTGCTGCTTCTCCTTCCCATTGACCTCGGCTTGCCTCACTACGATTACCAGCTTTCTGTTCCAGTCTCTCATCTCTGCTTAAGAACAGACGGCCACTCAAAGCTCAGGGGCTCAACAACCTGGGTAATGAGTGGCCACTTCTGGCAGAAAGCATTGCTGATCTGGCTGCTGGACTCCAAACCTTTGTAACATCAATATCATTACCCATACATTGGGTCTCCAAACAATACAATGCAAGACCCTCCCAGGAGTCTCTGGGCCTGGGAGATAATTGAGTTAAAGACCGGTTAGCTTATCTCCCAGGAACAGAGAGCCCAACACAAAACATAAAAGTACCCTGTAACGGACCACAGGTAACCCGACTGGTTACCTCTGTGTAACGGACCATTTTGCACACAAGGGGTAAAAACCATTTAGGCGATTGTCCCCTTTTCAGAGATGCAGGCACAGCTACTGTATAACACCAGACTCCCGAACCGCCAATAAGGGAATGCTCCAATCTCCCCAACGACATACAATATAGCACTCCAAACACACGAACTGGAACCTCACGAATAGCTGCTAGCAGACGAACAGGAAAAGCATCCAAGCGGCTTACACTCCTAGAAATCAGTCTCTATCAGCATTCAGTAAATCCCCCCAAAGATGAGACAAGGCTCCGTGTTGAAGGTCAAGCAGTGAACAGTCAGAGCTGTGGGTTTATTGTGCTTATGTACACATTCTTACACATTAGTACCACCCACAGGGTTTTGGAACACAACCAATAAACACATACAATACACTCAGTCACTCCCACACAAATTCCTCTACTCTGCATGTGATTCAATTACCTTACACAATGGGTAATGTAATTATAACAAGCAGAGAAATAAAATTTTTCCACATTATTCATAACTTGAAAAGTATGCATCACATTCACATAACTTACATTTTCAGAATCAGCATACTCCAAATACACACATATGTCAAAATCATCCAAATTGGTCCAGTGGTTCAAAAGATAGATCGTAGTCCTTTGTGACCAAAGGAAGCATGGCTTTTCTGCCCAAATCCAGTTCCACAGAGTCTTCTATCCTGGAGATAATTGGGAAGTAATCCAATTATCTCCAAAGACAGAGGCAAAACTCCATTGAACACATCACAGCAAAAAGACAGTAAACTACAATAAAATACACAAGGTTACATTTATGACATAAAATACAGACATGCAACATATGCCCAGATAGCTTAGGTCTAAGCGCACATTATTACTGAATGGCGCTCAGAGCACACACATACAGTTTAATTGCCATGGAGCCAAAGTCTTTCCCATAGTCTTTCATTATACGAATGGGCTCCATGGCATAGCTATCTGGGGTATAACTGCTCAAACAGGGCAAGCACCAAATGACCCGGCTTTCTTGTCTTTGCAGGGGAAAATCAAGCCTTTAACCCCTTAAGGACCAAACTTCTGGAATAAAAGGGAATCATGACATGTCACACATGTCATGTGTCCTTAAGGGGTTAAACATGGGGCCATAATCCAAAGGCAACAGGCGAGCAACCAGGCTTCTCCAATGCAATGTGGCGAGATTGGTCTCGTCACAGTTTAACTTTG